GGCCATATATAAAGGTCTTACTCTTTGGATATCTACTTGGAAATATCAACAGTGGATGGTAGGCCACTGACCTCTGTGGGGACAAGCCATGTGGCAAGAGTTATGGGAATTAGAACATGAAAAGGAAGTAACTCTTTTCCATGTCACAGGATGTTTCCCTTTTGCCAGTCTGGGCAATGACAAAGCTGATGCATTGGCTAAGGTAAGATGGCTGGAGAGAGCCCCAGCCACTGATGTAGCCCAGTGGTTATATCAATGGATGCAGCATGCTGGCTGCAAGACCGTGTGGTCAGTGGCTCAAAAGTGGAACCTGCCCATAAAACTGGAAGATACAATAAACACCTGTAGCATTTGTCTGGTGTGCACTCAAGAGAATCCACATCCCCAGCAGTTGCCACATTCTGATGGGCAGATAACCTGTGGAAGGGTGCCCCTAACTCAGTGGCAAGTGGATTTGTGGGACCACTGCCCAGGTCCGAGAATTTCAGGTATATCTTTACAGCTGTTGATACAGCTACGGGTCTTCTATTTCTATGGCCCTGTAAGGCCCCAGACCAGGTAAGCACCATTAAGGCATTGAATAGCCTTACAGCCATGTACGGTTGACCCTTGGTCTTAGAGAGTGATAATGGAACCCACTTTACTGGACATGAAGTACAGACGTGGGCTTCTCAGTTGTCCATTCAGTGGAAGTTACATGTGCCGTATTATCTCCAGGCAGTGGGAATGATTGAACAGTAAAATGGTCTTCTGAAAAGGGGACCAAGGCTATCCACCCAACCCCCATTCCTGAAGGGGTGGACACAGTGGTTATGGCTGACAGCCAGGATCTTAAATGAGAGACCCCACAGTGGAGGCTCTGTTGCGTAGAGCCACAGCACCTGTTCCTGCAACCATCCTTTCCCTGATGGTAAGCTGGCACGTATTCTGCCAGAGGGACAAGAACTCCCTCTGTTGGTGCCAGTAAGTTTTTTGTTTTTTTGCCCATAGTCTTGTGGCTGCCAACAACATAGTCCACTGGGCACATACATATGCACTGAGTTCCCTACCAGTGTGGCTGCAGGATTCTCATGGGAGATCATCCCAATGATGGCTGCTAAGTGGACCTGGCCTGAACAGAATGTTGTGTGTATATCCCTGACTATCATCATAACGTTACTCAGGCTTTGCAGCAATTAACCAGTGAAATTCATGCTGTCCAAAAATGACTGCAGATCCCCTCCAGGAATGGTGGCCAATATGTCATCTTCCTGGAGATGGGCATTGGCTGTACTGGGAGGGAGCATCTGTGTTTTGGTAGCATGTTGCTGCAGCCTATATTGCTGCTCAGGCCTATGGATGCAAGGGTCACCCATCCTCCCTAAGGGAACATTGCGGAAGATCTCAGATGTGTAGATTGTATGGCATGGGACCTGAAGGGGTGAGGCGTGAGGAAAATGGAGTCAGTATAGTCAGGCCCTCTCGCCTCATGTCCGGCTGGGTATGATTCAGGACATCCATTGTAAACAAGTTATGTAAGAGTGGTGTAACTGTGCATGCACGCCCATATAGCCTTTGGCTCATTGCCATTGTTGTGTAGTTTTGGTATAAAAGGCAGTGGCTCTAAACCGCTGGCTGGCAGAGCTCATGTTGGAATACAGCATGTCTATCCTGTTATTGGCCGCCAGAATCTTTTCTCAACTACCTGACTCACGACCTGCACAGGACAGGCAGAGGGGTCTGTGATCCAGCCCTACACGTGTACATTGTATAACAATCACCACAATCAAGCTAATGAACACATCCATCATCTCTCATAGTTATTTTCTTTCCTTTTATTTTTTGGTGAGAACGCTTAAGATGTACCCTCCTAGCAAATTTCAAGTTTATAAAGGAAAATATAAAGGAAAGCAAAATATTTCAACCTAAAACATACTTCTTTGACATATTTCAGGACGGCTATTTGGTGGGGCTAGAAGAACAAAAATAGCTAAAACGCTGCTTTTTGTAGAGGAGATTTACATACCTGTATTGGTGAAATAAATAGCCAGCCTTCCTCTGAGGCACCCCTCTCTTCTGCACCATCTATTCTTTCTGAGGGCAGCCCACATATTACTTGAAATATTTTCATCTGCATAACAAGGCAGCCTTTGCTTGACTTGCTTCCCTCCCTTTATCTGTGACACAACCTCCCCTAGAGCTCAGAGAAACCTGGTCCCGGGGGGGGGGGGGGGGGGGGGGGGGGGGGGGGGGGGGGGGGGGGGGGGGGGGGGGGGGGGGGGGGGGGGGGGGGGGGGGGGGGGGGGGGGGGGGGGGGGGGGGGGGGGGGGGGGGGGGGGGGGGGGGGGGGGGGGGGGGGGGGGGGGGGGGGGGGGGGGGGGGGGGGGGGGGGGGGGGGGGGGGGGGGGGGGGGGGGGGGGGGGGGGGGGGGGGGGGGGGGGGGGGGGGGGGGGGGGGGGGGGGGGGGGGGGGGGGGGGGGGGGGGGGGGGGGGGGGGGGGGGGGGGGGGGGGGGGGGGGGGGGGGGGGGGGGGGTCGTCGTTCTTTGGGCTAATTTATTTGCTTTGAAAGTCACTTACTCCTACACCCCGTCTGCACTCTCCCCTATAAAGAAGGGTATATAAGCTTCTGTGCCCCACTGAGTTATTGGGAAATCACTCTCTTTTGATGCCCCAGTGCATAGCCGCCTGTAGCACACTAAAATAAAATTCGTTAGGCCTTTTCTCCTATTATTCTGCGTGTTGTCAACTGATTTTCAGTTAACCTTCAGGGGGTGAAAGGGAAGTTTTCCCTGCATATACAATACAGTATTGTTAACTGCAGTCACATAGCTGTACATTAAATCTGCAGACCTTACTTATCTAGCGAAAGTGCAACTCTGTCCCCTTTGACCGACATTTCCCATTTCACCCCTCCCCCCAGCCCCTGGCAACTACCCTCCCCCCCTCTGCCAGCATACTTCTTACTGTGCTATTGTAGTCATCACGGCTTTGACCAAAAGTCGTCACTTCTGTAGCTACTACATGAAGCACAAAGAAGTGGAAAATTATCAATATATTTACCAAGGTATGATGCTTAATTCAGGAACAACACTTTTGTCTGAAATACTTGCATTTTGAAATCCTTTTTTAAAAATTTGTGCAGTGAACTTTGTGCTTAACATAGTCCACCTATACTGCATTAAAATTAAATTTTAACATGTCTGCTTCACCTCATAATGGCCTTTATTTTGTAAAACAACTTAAGTCAATAAGGTAAAATCCTACTTCAAAACAAAAATAACACAGTACATTTCCTACATAGCTATCTTTCAAAAAAATAAAAAACTGCTAAAAACCAAAAAAAAAAAAAAAAAAAAATCCCCAAAACAAAAAAAAAAAAACCTACAACACTATAGATAACACACCTTGATTTTTAAAATTAAATTTGAATTTATGAGGAATGACATCACATCCTTTGGATGTACTTGTTTTTGCAACTACCATCTTTTTCTGAAGTGATGAAACATATTCGATTTGTAAGTAGGAAAAGAACTTGTAAGAAACCGAAGTTCTAATTTTGTATCTTGGTAACATGAATTTTAAAATTAGTTGAACATTAAGAATCAAAAAGGTCTGGATGGTTCTGATAGTTGTGTAGAATTTTAGAAATACCAGTTGACCTTTGACAGATGGATTCCAGCGTCCTCAGTAAGTAACAATAAAGGCTGGCCCGTACGGCGACGGCGACGGCGACGATGCGCGAAGGGCCGTGACTGCCATCAGGAGCGGCGCCGACAGTCCGCCGCCAGCAGCGCTCCCTCGTTCTCCACACCGCTGCGAAACATCTCTGGGCTATTTCCTTTTGTTTTCTAATTTTATTTTGATTTTTAAAACACGACCTTTCTTCTCTTTGGAATAAAGCCCAACATTGGATTAATGGGGTTTTTTCCTCCTAACTCCCCGTGTAAAATCTAGTGTTCCCGTGACTTCCACGGGTTTCTGGTCGGTGGCCCGATTTTCAGATGACACGTTCGGGCTCTGATCGGCGCAGAAGCCTGGCCGGGGGTCGACCCCGCCGGCGCCTTGTCTGCCCACGGCCATCGCTGTCTCTCCGCGTCTCGCTGGAGCGTCGCTCGCAGCCTCCCCGCGCCGCTGCCACGCGGCTGCGAGCATTTCTGAGCTTCCCGAGCTTCCCGAAGCGGGAGGGAAGCGGGCTCCGCAGGGCGCCGTCCCCACGCTCCGCCGGGCGCTCACACGTGGGCGGGACCCGCCGGCCGGCGCTCCGGGGCCGCCCGCGCCGCGAGCCGCTGGGGAAGGACTGGCACCCGGCTCCGGCTCCCGCCCTCGCGGCGGCCCCGAGATCGGACCATGCACCGGCGCTGCGCGGCTGTGGTGGGGACGCGGCTTGTCCGGAGCGGGAGCGGCGCGGCAGGCCGGCTCCTCGGGGCGGCGGGAGCTACGGCCTCCGGGTACGGGGCGGGAGGCCTGGCGGGGGTCTGGGCCTGACGGAGGGCAGGGGCTGCCCTAAGCAGCTGGGTTGACTTGAGGACCCTGTGACCCGGGCTGGAAATACTTGCGTCGTCCTGCTGGGATCCGCTCGCTGTAGGTTGCTGGGTAAAATACAAGACGCCCTAGTGAATTGGAATCTCACGTGAACAAGGAAAGATCTGTAGCCCGGGTACGTCCCAGGCATTGCACTGGACACACCTAACCCGAGGTATTCGCCGTCCGTCTGAAATTCTAATTGAATCGGACGCCCTGCATTTGCATTTGTTAAACCTGCAACCCTCGTGCAGGAGTGCAGTTGACGGTTCCTGCTAGAGGGCCAAGGTTCTGAGGATAAGGAGTGGGACTTATTCATTTTGTTGTCGCCTCGGGCCAGACCCGGGACAGTGCTTTCCTTGCGCTTCTCCACTTCGAATACCCCGCGGCTGGCCCGCCGTGGAAGGAAGACCCGTGGCTCTAGCTGGTGCCGTGACGTCGCCCTGGCGGTCCTGCCACTGCGCACCCATCCCTGGCCTGCGAGTCTCCCCCTCTCTACTTGATCTGGGATTAACTTCCTGGATCGAGCTAGAGACGCCCGCCTGAAGGCGCCAGTCACACGGTGTTGACTGTTAACTGACAGGTCCTTGAGGCCCCTTAGTGTCTTTCTGATTTGTAACCCTGGGGCATATGGCACTTTGCCTACTTAGCCATGGTAAGTGCTCCATAAATGTCGTTGGTGCTTCATCAGCATTGAAGTGAAACGTGTGTGGTGCACTTGCTTTTTCCGTGGGTGTCTCTTTTCTTAATAGGTGACAACTGTTACCAAGCTCAACTAGAAATTGAAGGGGAGGGGTGCCTTCCAGGAACTCTCTTGTGTTTTGCAGGCAAGGGGGTAATATTTCAGAACGCACTTTCTACCTCTCTTACTACCCAAGAACACATTTTCTTATGAGCGTTCTACTGAAGCTCCTGCTTCAATAGTAAATGTTGCAGGTTTGGGGATGAGAGTTAAATGCCGGACTTGAGATGTAAAGGACTCCTTTGATAAGCCAAATAGATTGCTGATCGATTCCGCCGAAGCTCCTTCTTAGGTCCAGGCCAGTGCAATCAATCATTTATTTTCTGGTGTAGGCGTCAGGAACTCAGCCTGCTTTTGTCTTAAAGCCACACTCTCCTCCCAACCTGGCTACAGCCTCTCTAGACCGCTGCTCCTAACCTCCTCTTTAGATAGGCACGCAGGCCTTTTTTTCTTTTTTCTTTTTTATTTAAAGGTTTCCTCGGTAATGTATTACGAAGCAAGGAATAATAGATTGTAAACATTGGGTAGTTATAATGTTTAGTTGCAGAAGTTTCTGACTCTTCTTCATTATAACTGAAGGTGATATTTGTTATAGCTTCCTTATTCTAAGCATGCAGGTATCACTGCATAGAGCAGATGCTCATCATCCAAGGATAACTTATACTGGAAAAAGCCATTTAAAGTAGAGTCAGTTAAAAAGGACTAAAATTTCAGGCTATACAGTTAAAGAAAAAGTATTGATTGGGAACTGGAAAAAATGAAACTCAACATTAGAAAAGTAGCTTAGTTTTATATTTAACATTTAAATTTTAAATATACTTACAATGAGTGAATGAAGTGTTGATTTGGAGGGAGGCGTGTTTTTATCAAAATTTGAGTTTTGCAACATAGTAAGAATTTAAAAAAAATATTCGAAGCTTCAAATGTCTATTCTACTCTCTTATTTCTTAGATATTTTTGAAGCATCTGTTATCTTAATCCTTTTGTAAGGTTTGTAATTTCACGCTGTAGTTAGTTTGCATCATGTTGGTTGATACTGTGCCAACGATGTAGTAAAGCCTGGCTGGCCAAGAAAAATGAATGGATGGGGAACAATAAGTGCTAGGGACAAGCAGAGAGATGATGAGGGTCCCTGTAATCAGGAAATAATAGTAGTAATGTCAGATAGTATTGACCATTTACTATGTTTAAGGCACTGTTCTCCTTTCTGTGTATCAGTTAATTTAATCCTCTCAAAACCCTTTGAGAGGTGGGAGTGATTATTCCCATTTTACAAATTGCAAACTTTGGGGCTATGGACAGTTGTGTTTTTCTTAGTTTCCTTACGGTTTTTTAATCGGTGTAAGTTCACTGCTTCACAGGATGTTTACGGAGTTTTGGCATGTTTTAGTAACAAAATGGAATTATATGTTTTAACCAATGGTCAGATCATATGTCCAGTGAATAGGACAGAATATTTGCAATTTTGGTGGTCATAATAAAAGTGTGTCAGGCTTTAAACAAAGTAAAATTGGGAGGCTAATTAGATAAGCACACAGGCCTTTTTGGTTTTAGTAAACAAATACTTTGTAAACTGACATTTTGTACTGATAACTAGTAAATCTTTTATTTTGTAAGTTTGGATATATTTGTATATAAGATTTTCTTCAAGTGGAACTCGTGATGAACTGTGCAATGCCTGTTAAATTAATAAACTGTCTTGCTCTTTTTAATTCCTTTTAGGATGGGGAGCAGCACATCGTCCTCTTTGGGGAAGTCAGCAACTGCTCCCATGAACCAGATTCAAGTGAGTGATGTGGAAGATGTAGGGAAAAAACTTCCTTCTGAGAAAAAAGAACCGTGTCTTACATATTTAATATGCTTACTCCATATCCAGACTTGACATAGTTCTGCAAATGAATTACTAAATTAATATTTATTTTAAAATCTGCTATCAGGATAACCCATGTGACACAAAAGCCTAGATCATTTTGGTAATTAGAATTTATGAGATTCATTTTTCGTGGAGTCTTCACTCCCTGTAAGTTGGATCTTTGAAGATGGCTGTTCCTTTTTATCATACCCACCTCAGGACCACTGTTGATACCAGTCAGGCTGCCCTTATGCAGGGATACTATTTGATTTTGACCGGGGCAGCTGTTTGACAGCTTTCTTCCCCAACACAGACCCTTGCATGCAGTAGTTGCTCCATAAACAATCCTTTCAGGGATGCTGAACACGGCTATGTTCTCTTGTTTTCTCTCTCTTTGACTGCAAAGCTTAGTTAATTCTTCTGAAAATTTCTCTTATATGTATGTTTTTCTTCCCTTGCAGCCTACAAAACATACCCTTTTTCTTTTTCACCACTCACAACCACCAGAAACAAAAAATTTCTGCCTTTAATTGATTTGGCCAAACTCACAGCTGTTGAATATAACAGTAATGATGTAGAACCTGTTGTGAGAGAATTGCCTCTTTTAAAATAAAAATACAGTGTTGTGAAACATTTATCAAGGTTGAGCTTGAGAAAGGTTGGAAGAGAGTTCAAGAAACCCTGATGCTTGTTTGAATTTCGGCTACGTCAGTGTTTCTACTTCATGTCAGCACCCTGGATAATCCTCTCTAAACGGTGGCCTCAGTGTACCAGTAGACTAAGGCAGCACGGTATTGTGACCAGGTTGGGTCAAGTGCCAGTATTGAGAACTTAAGTTTTGTCATCTGTACAATGGATTCATTAATACGTCTCTGGTATTGCTGGTCTTCCCTGAGACAGACATTTATACTAAATATTATGAGTAAGCAGAAGAGAAAGCATAAAAATAGACCAACTTACAGACAGCGAGGCTATAATCCAGGACCCTTCTGACACCCAAGGGCAGATATAACTTCTGAAGCACTTTCCCTGGGTACTGTAATTTCTGATTCTTGGCCTTCGTCCTGGGGATCTGCTTATGATCCACCACAGAAGAACAACCTAGCCCGATACCTGGGTGACTGATGAACTCAGTTGGTTAGAGGACACCCTTGTAACACTAAGGTCAAGGGTTTGGTTCTCCCTACTGGCCAGCTGCCAAAAAAAAAAAGAATCTCTTGAAGGACCCCATGTATTTAGCTGTGCTTTTTTTTTTTTGGTTGTTGGCAGGTACAGGGATCTGATGTTCCAAACCCTTAATCTTGGTATTACCAGCACAACCAAGCGAGATAACTGACCATCTCAGGACCCCATATATTAAGAAACAAAACAAAACAAACTTCACAGAGTGAAGATGCATAGCAAAGTCTCATGGTCATTGTGGTAAATGCCTGGAGAGTAGTTTCCAAACCAGGCTGATATCCTAAGAATCATCTGGGAAGGTTTCTAAAAAATAGTTTCCTCCAACTGATGCTCTCACAGGAGGGAAAAAAAATACAGTTTCCAACCTCTGCCTCAAACTCATTGAATCAACATTTTTGGAAGTAGATTTTTCAGGACCAACAACAATATAAGAATATCTTATCAATATGGTAATGACAGCTTTTGTAGTATGAAGGTATATAGGAAGGAAAGGAGGTTCTGTTCATATCTGGATCAGTGAAAGCCCTACTTTTTTTTGGTGGCTGGGCAGTGTGAAAGCCCTACATTTTTAAGCTGTTGTTTATACTCGTATCAGTTTTGAGAAATCACACATCATTCCTTGCCATCGAAAGTTATAGAATGTAAGGATTTAACTCCTTCTGAACACCTGCTGAATATCTGAGTAGTCATAAAACAGATTAAGTGCCAGGACTGTAGATCCAGATTTACCTGGGTTCCGATTCCAGCTCTCCTATTTGTTAGTGAGCAGCGTGAGCAAGTTATCTTCCTCTGTGCCTCACTTTCCACATCTGCAAAGTGAAGATAATAATAGGATCTACCTCAGGATTGTAGTGAGGCTTAAATGACCTAGTAAAGTTAAAATGTTGAGAATAGTGCTTGGCACACAGAAGTGTTTGTTGTGCATGAATTGGCTACGATTATTATTATTTATTATTATTGTTATTACTCCATGCCAACCACTTTCTATTTGTAATATCTTTTTTCCCCCTAATAACATTCCTTTGAAATGAATAGTATCCTTAATCTACAGATGAGAGGATAGTTGATAGAGACGTTTGAGTCCTGAGTTGTGAGACTCCAAAATCTATACCCTTTCCACTATATCATGTCTTTCCAAAAGGTAATATCTGGAATTAAAATGATTTTGTTTTATTTCAGGAAACAATTTCTGATAATTGTGTGGTGATTTTCTCAAAAACATCCTGTTCTTATTGTACAATGGCAAAAAAGCTTTTTCATGACATGAATGTTCACTACAAAGTGGTGGAATTGGACATGCTTGAATATGGAAGCCAGTTTCAAGACGCTCTTTACAAAATGACTGGGGAAAGAACCGTGAGTGTATCCTATATGGTGTTGTTCCACATAAGAGGTGGTGACTTGGATCACCTAGACCCTGTGTTAAGAAAAGTGAGCCAGACATTCTCTGAGGATCATAGATTGATAAAGAAACAGCAGATTGGGAAACCAGATTTTTAGAATAGGAAACAGCAGAATTAATTCACTTTATTTTTATTTTTACCATGTGTGCATGTCTGTGTGCGTGTGTATGTTTTGATTGGGATGGGTGAGATAGTGGTGTTGTCATGGGCACTTGTCTAGAGATCTTTAAGGTCCTCTTGGAGATGTTTGCAAGATTAAAGTTTACTTCCTCTCATTACTTGGACAGTACAGACCAGGGTCATTCTTAATTACTGTGCTAATAGGAGTGCTTTCATACTCCATGTTTTTAGACTTTTGAAGTTTGTAGATTTTTCCATAATATGCATAATCAGAAAAATACAGTGTTGCCACTTTCTTGTTGATATGTACATGCGAGATGTTTATGGTGCACTCTTCTTTATTAAACAGATGTAAGAACCACTTAAAACATTATTACTAATTAGATACTGTTTTATCTTTTATATACCATAGTGATTAGGAGGAAGGGTTTTAGAATCAAATTGCCCTGGATTTGAATCCCAGCTCTGTCATTTACTTTCACTGTGATCTTGGACAAGTTTCTGTGCCTCCAAATTTCCTATTTTCCCTCCAAAATAGGGCTAAAAATAGTACCTACCTCAAGGGTTGTAAACATTTAAAGAGATAATTTGTGAAAGAGCTTAGTGTGGTGCCTAAAGGACCCCGAGTGTGAGCGTCTGTTATTATTATTAGGTTAAATGATCTTATATTTTTGACACTAGGGTAAGGCCTAATCTATCTTTTGTTTATCAAACAGGTTCCAAGAATATTTGTGAATGGAACTTTTGTTGGAGGTGCAACTGATACTCATAGGCTTCACAAAGAAGGGAAATTGCTTCCACTAGTTCATCAATGTTATTTAAAAAAAAGTAAGAGAAAGGAATTTGAGTGATGTAGGTACTTATCACTTTGCTAGTAAAATGTCAGTTAAAGTGATAATGCCTGATGCCTTTTAAATGTTTGAGCATGTTTTAAATATATGAATTACCTTCATGAAAAGATATAAAAATAATGAATAATAAATTGTTGTGGAAACCTCATCATCCTATTTGCCAATTCTTGAACAAAAGGGATGGTACTTAAAACTGAAGAGGGGGAGTTGTGTACTAGTCCTTTTCTGTTGCTTATAAAAAAAATACTTGGAACTGGGTAATTTGTAAGCGAAAGAAATTTATTGCTTACAGTTTTGAAGGCTGGGAAGTCCAAAGTCCAGGAAACACATCTGCTGAGGACCTTCTTTGGTGGTGGCTTTACAGCAATGCAGGGGTCTCACATGGCAGAAGACGGTGGAACAGAGAGAGAGCTGCTCATATATTCTCCTTTTAAAGCCCTCAGAACCACACCACCATTAAACCATCAACTTAGTCACCTCTTCGAGGCCCCACTTTTCAATTATCGTAATAGGATTTCCCACCCTCTTAACAGTCACTGTGGGGATCTAGCCTCCAACACATTGAACTTTGGGGTGAACACAATTCAATCCACTATAAGTTGTATCAAAAGACAAGGAAAGAATGTGTTTTATTAGGAACTTATGTTTGATTTTACAATTGAAAGCTGGAAGATAAGCATTTGGAATTCTTTATTCCCTATAGTTAGATTATATTCCCTGTAGATTTAGGAGTTAACTCCTCATCTTCCTATAGTTTTCATTGATATGGACTGATGTGTGACTTCTTAAAATTTAAGGCTCTCACTGATACAAATGTGAACTAGGTAGGGATATCTTGTACCATACTGTGACAAGCCTTCATTCCTTGTACTTCTAGAGTAATAGAAGTATGTTAAATTTGTAGGATGGAATGAAATTTATCTTAGAGAACCTAAATTACTCATTTAATGATTTAGTAGTTCCAGGGAATAGAACTGTACCTATGGGCAGAAATTAAAAGATTTCAACATTGTGTGAGATGAACTTTTAAAACAGCTCAGAAATGTACTTGAGTTATATTGTGAGGTGGAGAGTTCTGCTTTCCAGATGGCTGTTGGAAATGTTCCATAAGGGAACCAGGTATTTGGTGGGAGGTTAGACTGAATGTCCCTAAAGTCATTTGTGATGTTGATATGCACAGTTCTGTGACTGGGAATATTATTTAGACTGATTGCATTTCAGATAAACAGCAAAGAAGATTTATCCTATAGAAGTCTTATTTTAGAGTAATTGGAACTACTTTCAATACTTTATTAATCAAGTCATATTTCCACCTTTTTATAAAGATTTTTAAGGGCCGGCCCATGGCTCACTCAGGAGAATGTGGTGCTGATAACACCAAGGCCACGGGTTTGGATCCTATATAGGGATGGCCGGTTAGCTCACTGAGTGAGCGTGGTGCTGACAACACCAAGTCAAGGGTTAAGATCCCCTTACTGGTCATCTTTAAAAAAAATAAATAAAATAATAATAAAGATTTTTAAGTGTCTACTATAAAAAGCATTTTTCTAGTTGTTCCCAGAGTTACATGGTGCATATTAGCAGATGCTAAGAAAACACTACTCTTCCTTAGAGCTGGGAGAAAAGTTGATTTCAAGAGGGTGAGTGCTGCTGCTTTCTGGTCAGGTGGACCAGAGAGCCTGGGACAGTTCTAAGGAAGACAACTGGTGGTTTTCTTAGCCATTTGCTATAATGATGCTTCCTACACGGACTTAAAAACTGCCATTAGGAAACCTTGATAAAGTAAGAATTTAGACTATTTCATTCCCATGTGATAATTTATGTAAGTTATGACACTGGAATGGAACAGAAAATGGAATATCCTTACTCCTTTATTTGCATTGTCATGAGAAATTTTACATGCTTATTATGTTGTAAAATCTTTGTTAGAGTAGAGGAAGTCTGTTACCTATGAGAAAGGTAAACTTGTAATTGTATATCATCATTGCAAATCATATTAGCTGTCAAGATAGAGGCAGGTTACTTTCAGGTATAGAAACACTCACCAAGTGGTGTTGATAGTGCTCAACTATGAAGAAACATCTTTTAATAACTCTTCTAGACTGGTAGGACAGGAGGGTGAGGGGTGAGTGGTGGTTGGTTCTTGATTAGTTCATATCTTGAAATAGTTCAACATCAAGGAGAACAGCCTTATCATCAAAAGGCTCAAAAACTTAGTAAAGGTAATATGATATCTAATTATCATTTGTGCCTTTATTTAAAAAAGAAGAAATAAACCCAGCATCTGCTTCAATCTTCTGAACTTTATACTTAATAATGTTACTTTTAGGGGTCTAGCACTGCATCAAAAAGGGAGCACTTCAGAAAGCAGGACTCCCTAATTGATCAATGCTAAGGGATGAAAGAAATTAATTTAAAAATGTGACCTCTTTTTAGCCATATGGCAAAATAAATATCTTTCAAAAAACCCCAAAACAGTAACAAAGTTGCCACTCAAACATTTAAGGTGCTAGATACAGTATTTAAAAAAAATTTTTTTTTTTAATGCATGGCTAAGCTGGTTTAAAAAAACATATGGGGCCTCTTCAAGGGGAAAACAAAACAGAGCAGAATACGATAATGTAAGCAAACCATGAAGCTAGCAACTGCCCTGTCATACCAATTCTGGAAGACCAAGAGCTTTAGTTTTAATTGTTTATGCAAGAGGCAAGTTACAAAGCTGGAGGTTTAAGGAGAGGGATTTCGATAAAGGACCACAACACAACTAAATCTTCAGTAAAAAAAAAAAAAAATCATAACTTGTACTGAGTATAGCTGTTAGAGCAAGAAAGACAAGTGTTCAAATCACTGCAGGTGTAACCAGTAGGTAGGTGACTTTAACCATTCAGAACTTGAAGTTCCTCGTGAAATGTGGATAATACCACCTTCCTTTAGCACTTATTTTGAGGAATGGAGATAATACATGTAAATCACTCAGAATAGTATTTAGTGTAGACAATATGCAATGGCTACTATTAATCACAATGGCTCAGAAGCATGTGTGGTTTTCTTGTGGACTTATCAGGGTTTTGTGTTCCTCACCTGCCTAGCAGGGAGCTTTACCCCTAAAATCTTGGGCTTCTGGGCTTTAATATTGTCTTGGATGTTGATTTCTATTCTTTCTCATACCTTATAGCTGGAAAAAAGTGTCATATAAACCCAAAGCAAAACTAGGTTGTTTTAGCAGCTCTGCTTTTTTTCCAGAACCAAAGGCTAGAAAGATAATGGTTACCAATTTAAGAAAAAGTTGTGATCTTTTTTCTGCCAGTCCTCTATCTCATTTTTAATGTTAGTATCCGAAAGATAATAAATTGTTTACTGGAGTTCATTAATATTAAAAAATGGGCCTTTTTATCTTATCACTAATCAGTTTATACTTTAATTGCCAAAGCATCTGAAATTTGGAAGCTGAAAAGCTGTTGAGAAAAAAAGAGGTCTTTTGTACCTGGATTTTACTGTTTACTAATACTATAATATCTTTTTTTTTTTTTTTTTTTTTTGGCTTCTGGCCAGTACAGGGGATCAAACCCTGGACCTTGGTGTTATCAGCACCATGCTGTAACCAGCTGAGCTAACTGGCTAGCCCTGAGCAATACTTTTCAAAGTCAGATTTTCTTGATAACATTTAATGTTGTTAATTTATTAAATCTAGTTTTCTTTATGAGGAAATGTGTGCTGGCAGGATAGCTCAGTTGGCTAGAGAGTAGCCTTGTAAACCCAAGGTCAAGCGTCTGGCCAGCAAACAAAACAAAATAAACAAAAGCTTTTGAGTGTTCCCTTGTATGAAGAGATGTGTAGTTTGCTATCTTCTTTCTCCTTTCAACTGTTGACTATTTTATTTTTATGTTTTTGGCAGCTGGAGGGTACGAGGACCCGAGCCCTTGACCTTGGTGTTGCAACACCGTACTCTAACCAACTGCTAACCAGCCAGCCCAACTCTGTCTTTAAATAGAGAACTGTAAGGTCAACCAAATGTTTTAAGTTTGGGTGGATGTATTCTTTTTTTTTTTTTTCTAAAAGATGACCGGTAAGGGGATCTTAACCCTTGACTTGGTGTTGTCAGCACCACGCTCAGCCAGTGAGCGAACCGGCCATCCCTATATGGGATCCGAACCCGGGGCCTTGGTGTTATCAGCACCGCACTCTCCCGAGTGAGCCACGGGCCGGCCCTGGGTGGATGTATTCTGATGTAACTTTTTCTCACCTGTCTGTGTTACCTACACAGCTCAGATCTTAGAACATTTCAGAAAAGTTTTATGGGAATTGGGAAATTTCTGCAAATTAGCACTGACACAAAATATTTTTATTTGCACAGTTGATTTTTTTGTGTTAGCATGATAATTTTTCCCAAAGGGAACTTTGAGTAGATTTTTTTTCACAAAAGAATCCTAGGAAAGCAGGACTCTCCTAACTGATAAATCCTGTTTTGAAACTCTTGAAGAATTTGCATTTTGATTAAATCCAACTGTTTTGATTCCTTAATTGAACACCACTAGAAAAGAATCCCCAGTCACATAATTATGTAATATTTAAGTAATACATAAAATTAGATGCATTAAAAGGCCAATGTTAATTATCAATACTTAATTTTACCTTGTTTAAATACTATAACATTAATTACTAAGGGCCTAAGATTTTATAAGCCTTAAAATTCTTATTTCCTGAAAGAAATAAAAAGACAGTTATTTGATGTGCATAGAGTTTATTTGGTACACCTATCAATTTCTACAATAATTGACCAGAAACAGTTCACATATAGGGCCCACCTGCACTCCATGTCTAAAATGACTTATTTAGTAGGGTATTTTGAAAGGCTGGAAAGGAGACAAAATCTGGATTTCACAGTATTGGTGAAAACTGTTTTATCATGAAATAAATTTAATACATTAGTGTACTCATCCATTCCCTATGAGAAAACAACAAAATTACATTGTTAGGTGTATTATTTATTTACAGTGAAAACTTGGAAGACTTGACAAAGCATCAGTAGACCTAGGAAGCCCCCTGCTGCCCCCTTCAGGGTCCTCTCCTTGGAAATGAAATAAACTTGTTATAATCAAACTTTACAAACCTTTAAGCACCAGCTTGACAATTTAAAGTTTCTTTCA